ATATATATATATATATATATATATATATATAAGAAATATATATTCCCCCCATTTTCATTTTTGTAATACAAATAATAAATTAGTAATAAAATTAATTTTAATTAAATTATTTTGATTACTGTAAGATTTTTTTAATATTACCACAGTGAGATCTAACGGGAAATTGTGCATATTTTTTTTTAAGCCTGGGGAAAAAAAAACCCTTAATGGTCCAAAAAAAATCGGCTATAGTTTTTGTATTTGTTTTCCCTTTTGATTCTGGAGTGAAATACAAATAAGAATTTTTTTTCATGAGATTGACCCAAAAATTATCGTACACCTAGTTTGACAGACGAATAGAAAAGGCAAAAGTACAGTAAGCAAGAGAGGATCAAAGAGACAGTAAACATTTAGCCACTCAGAAAGAGGAGTGTAAGACGGACGGACAGAAGGCACACTGCTTTAAAAAGCATAATTCAATCACTGCTAATGTCCCAAACACAACAGTAGTGCCAGACACAGAAGCATCCAGACGTTACAGTATCAAAAACCTGTTCAATCAGAAGAGCAATGGGAAGACCGGCGAGAACTGAAGTCACGTGATCGAAGAGGAGCTCCAGTCCTGCCACCTCACTACAGATGAGGTCAAAGGTGACAATAACGCAAGAGGATGGTGTTAATGGGAAACAGGAACGGTTTATCGACTTGCTGTGCACACACACCAAGAAACACAGGAATATGAAGTTTAAATCAAATATGACTGGAAAATAATAGAAAACGCATGAATACAGAGTGTTAGTGAATTACAACAGGTTTCTGTTGCCAAAAATGTTCTGAGGGTCCACATACTCCTTCACCGACTTGAGCATGCCGAGCCCCACGCCAGACACGCTCTCTTTCATCCATTCCTTCCGGAGTTTTCCCACTGCGAGAGAGAGAGAGAGAGAGAGAGAGAGGGATTGAGCAGACGTGTGCGTGTAAGCGCTGGATGATGGATGTTGTGGGGTGGGCGGCACTGCTGAAACGCTGAGATGTTTTGCATGATGTGATTTATGGAGAGCAGCAGACTATCAAACTCATTATGCTGCCTGCGCTCCCAGCGGAGAGAGAGAAACTCTTCCTCTGTCTGTCTGTCTGTCTGCTTCTCTCGTGTTCAGACTAAACACCACCAAACATACGTCAACATCAACTACATTATCACACCACTTCACCAAAAAATAATCATTAACACATAAATTAACACCAAACAATGTATCAAAACTGCTTGTAAGCACAATTCAAAAAATGATATGGCACTCAATCATAAAATGAAGGAATAAAATGAAGTAGATGCCAGGGTGTTGCTGTTCTGTGTTGAGCTCATCTAAATGTTTTTAGCATTGCTAGGGTGTTGCTTACTGGCTAAAGTCAAAAAAGCCCACTCTATTGATTACCAACATTAAAACCTATAAGCTGATGATTAATTTCATGTTATGGCCGATAAATGGCTGTAATAAATAAATTAAAGACACTCAAAACTTAAACTGTTTTAAATTCTTTAAGTCAATTTAGGCATCACAATATTATATTTTAGCTTGAAAATGAATATTAATTCCAAGATTTGCTAAAGATTGCATTGAACGGTGTTATTAAATTGTTTATTAATAAGTCATTATTACTATTGTTGTGGTTATTATTAAATCATTATTGTGAACTTTAAGTGTTAGATGAAGGAAAAAGTCATCTAAATGCAAAAATAGGGAAAATGAACATGAACAATAACCTAATTTCAGCCAATGCAGATACATTTAAATGTCTTATCAGCAGAGATTCACACCTGAAATTATATTAATGGATAATAAAAATAATTTCCAACAAGACTATAATATAATATAATATAATATAATATAATATAATATAATATAATATAATATAATATAATATAATATAATATAATATTATTTCTCCCACATCATTAAAACAATGGCATGTCCTTTATGAGTGTTTGGTTATATAATACCACACAACATATTGTTTGTGAAAGAAATTAAATCATTAATTATTAAATAATTATTATTAAACCATTATCGATATTGTTAGTATTGTTACATTATTATATAATTATTGTTGTTTTTTTTTAAATATGAACTTCATGTCTTAGATGAAGGAAAATGTACTCTCAATGCAAAAATAGGGGAAATGAGCATGATCAATAACTCAATACCAGCCAATACATAAAAAAAAGACATTCCCTAGATGTAATTCACACCTTTACTGTATGTTTCTATAAAACTAAAAATAAATTACATTTTAAAAAAATGTAAAAATTATAAATTAAATTTAAAAAAAAAAAGATTACAAAAACATTTATTGGATAATAAAAATTAAACCAATGCCCAAAAAAGATAATGTAATTATATAATATAATACTGTTATGATTTCTTTCCCAGATCATTAAAACAACGACATGTCCTTTATGAGTGTTCGGCTAATATAATACCACACAGCATATTGTTTGTGAGAGCAGCAGTTTAGGGAACTTTGACGTCCCCGTCTCCTCTCTCTCTGTGTGTCACATGCTTAATATGATTGATAAGCGAGCAGACGGCATTTCGTCATAATACTTTACTGTTTGAGAAGGGGGCGGGGTTTAGGGCAAGGGCAGCTCACGATTGGCAACACACCCCAACCCAGGACTCTCTCATACATATGCAAATAGGTCTTGCGGCGACAGAGCCAGTCACCTCGCACGAAAAAAACAGACACCAGCCCACCAAACGCACAGCAAGCCAATCAGGAGCGCACATCGGCCCCTCTTCAAATCCCCAGTGGTGTATTTGTGTCTCTGCTGGGCTACAGACAGAAACAGAAGGAGGCACGACTGCATCATTGCCTCCATCACGGAGATAATTTACACATCTATCATCTCGCCATCAGCCCATATTCCCGCGCTCTCTTTCCATCACTACCCTGTCACTATTCATCTCTCATAACCACTTTCGCACAGCTGAGACATGCAAAAAACTCAAGCCAGAGACAAAAGCATAGGTGTGTGTCCAATATCGGCTGAATGAAGCGGAAGCGGTCTGAGTGTGTTTGAGGCTGATGCACTCGTTTGCCCTATAGCCCCTGCTCTTCACCTGCACAAACACGCGCATGCTGTTCGTACTCCTACGCTGTCCTCAGGCGTGCGCTTACACATGCTGTGCTCCGAGACTCTGCCATCAGCTCAGAAGAAAGCTTTAAGCATGTCTGCATGGTGCCAAACAAACAAACTGAAAAACAAAACTCCAACAAGAATTCATCTAATCTGGGTCACGGCACCAAAAAATAAAACGTCGTACTTTGTAGCGGTCACATTAGTCTAAAACGTATCACTACTACTAGAGATGTTGGGCGGCAGAGGTGATTGTTGTTTTTGTGAGCGCTGGAAAGTTTTATTAATTTTAGTGAATCGGTTCATTTGGACAGTTCATTTCACAACTCACAAATGATTCACTGATTCAAATAATTTTTAGATTTTTTTGAGACATCTTTCATAATATGGGGGGGCCCTACTTTTTGTACTGAAATAAATGTTTAATTAGTTCTGTTTGATAGGGTTGCTAGGTTTGTTTGGACAGTTCAATTAAATGAACTACTTACACAAATGATTCACTGATTTGAATCATTACTTTCAAAATGTTCTCGGAGGCCCTTCTGTTTTTGTAATTCATTTTTTAATTCGTTTTGCTTGCTAGGTTCGTTGTATAATTTCAATGAACGCACAAATGACTCACAGGCCCTTCTGTTTTTGCAATTCATTTTTTTATTAGTTTTGTTTGCTAGGTTCGTTGTATAATTTCAATGAACGAACAATGCAAAACTCCTGCTAAGAAGTCCAACATGAATTCATATAATCCAGGACACGGCACCAAAAAATAAATGACTCACGCAAAACTGACTCACTGATATTTTGAGACATCACTTTCATAATATAGGAAGCCCTATTTTTTTGTGAAATAAATGTTTAGTTAGTTCTGTTTGATAGGGTTGCCAGGTTTGTTTGGACAGTTCGATTCAATGAACCACTTACACAAATGATTCACTGATTTGAATCATTACTTTCAAAATGTTCTCGGAGGCCCTTCTTTTTTGTAATTAATTTTTTTATTAGTTTTGTTTGCTAGGTTCTTTGTATAATTTCAATGAACGCACAAATGACACTTACACAAATGATTCACTGATTTCACACTGAGAAGCCCTTTCTTGTAATTATTATTTTTTTATTAGTTTTGTTTGTTAGGTTTGTTTGGTTGTTTAATTTTAATTAACACACAAATGACTGATTTTGTGAGACATCACTTTCAGTTTTAGTAGTGAAATAAATGTTTAGTAAGTCCTGTTTGATAGGGTTGCTAGGTTCATTTGGACAGTTCATTTTAATACACTTTTTAATTACACTAATGATTCTGTTCTCTTTGCAAAGGTAATGATTTGAATCATTATTTTTAAAATGTTATAGAAAGCCCTTTAGTTTGCAAGGTTTTTGTTGTTGGTTAATTTCAATGAACACACAAACGACTCACACACATAAAAAAACAAACAATATACTGATTCATTTGATTATTACTTCCAAAATATTATAGGAAACCCTACTTTTTGTAGTGAAATAAATGTTTAGTAAGTTCAGTTTGATAAGACTGCTAGGTTTGTAAGGAAAGTTAATTTAATTGAACTGCTTAAAGTAATGATTCAGTGATTCATTTGAGTCATTACTTTTAAAATGTTCTCAGAATCCTTTCATTTTTGTAGTGAAATAAATGTTTAGTTAGTTCTGTTTGCTAGGGATAGGTGTTTTAACTAATCCATAGTGTTAAGTATCAATGTCAGCCACCTCCCAAAGTTATACAGTCAGATGACTGACAAATGCTTTGCAAATTGGTTTGACCAAATCATTAAAAAGGAGTCAGTAAAAAAAAAAAAAAAAGACTCATTAATGAATCAGAAATCATTACTTCTGATCATTTCTTTCTTGCTCTCCCTAAAGGCTGTTTGCATGGCCTCTCTTTAACCCTTTATCTTTAACAGAGCAGCAAATCTATGTTAACTGTTTATCAGTTTAAAGGGATAGTTCACCCAAAAATGAAAATGTGATGTTTATCTGCTTACCCCCAGGGCATCCAAGATGTAGGTGACTTTGTTTCTTCAGTAGAACACAAACTGAGATTTTTTACTCCAGCCGTTTGCAGTCTGTCAGTCGTATAATGCATGGCAATGGTAACAAAATCTATGAGAGTAAAAAAAACATGCACAGACAAATCCAAATTAAACCCTGCGGCTCGTGACGACACACTGATGTCCTAAGACACGAAACGATCGGTTTGTGCCAGAAACCGAACAGTATTTATATCATATTTTACCTCTAATACACCACTATGTCCAACTTGTCTGTGCATGTTTTTTTTACTCTCATAGATTTTGTTACCATTGCCATGCATTATACAACTGATAGACTGCAACGGCTGGACTTAAAAATCATCATTTGTGTTCTACTGAATAACAAAGTCACCTACATCTTGGATGCCCTGGGGGTAAGCAGATAAACATCAAATTTTCATTTTTGGGTGAACTATCCCTTTAATGACGTCCTTTTAAAGTGCAAAGGGCATCTTTTTGTTCGTTTCGTTTGCTTAGATGTTTGTACACATGGCCAACGTGTAACAAAGAAACGGTGTGCGCTTGTGTTTAAAGCGAGTGGAGGTCTGGCAAACGTGCTTGGTTGCATTCACAGCTCTGACCCGCGGTAAACACAGGTTAGTAAACTGTGTCTTTCTCTCCTGCGCCCTCCCACCTCGCAAGCCCAGACTACATCTGTTTTTCCAGATACACCACACACATTTCATTTGTCATGCTGTGATTGTGTGTAGACAAAAGGGCCTGTCGGCAGGCAGATAGTACCGCAGTACTGTTATTAATCACAATTAAAGAGCACTCCCCCACCACACACACACACACACCATCAGCATGGCTTTCTTTCTTTCTTTTAGATCACAGTCAGGAAAGTTGATAAATATCAGCTCACCATTTCCTCTCTCATTTTAAAGGTACAGCTCACTCAAAAATGTAAAATCGCCTGCACATCATTTAAAAATTACTATTTTTCTTTCTTCTGTGGAATATAAATGATCAATTTAGAATCTGATCTTTTCAGCAAATAGATCTGAATAATTCTTTCACAAATCTGATTGATCCAGTTCACAAGTTTAACTCACTGATTCGATTCGGTTGCAGCACGTGACAGCTCACTGGAGGAGAAGATTGTTAGGTAATAATCTTAAATTTCTCACACAAATAATTTTTTATACATTTTTGGAACTTAATGTAAGCCTGAAACTCACATTTTCTAAGTTATTATTCTTCAGAATTTTGTTTTGTGTTCCACAGAAGAAGAAAAAAGTCATTCAGGTTTTTGGAACAACATCATGGTCAGGAAACAACAACAGATCTGTAATCTTTGAGTGAACTCTGCCTTTAACAGTCCAGAATATAGCACTAGTGGTCGACCGATATTGTTTTTTTGACAGCCGATGCCGATATCTTGGAAAGCAGGGTGGCCGATGGCTGATATAAAGCCGATATAATTGTATTTATTTTAATTAATATTTAAGAAATTTTAAATCGTTTGAAAATGGATTTAAAAATAAATTTGTAAAATATTCATACTTATACTTTACATGACAAAGTATTTTTCACAAATAAATATTTAATAAAAATATAATTAAAAAGGAAGTAAACTGTAACCAACAGAGCACTCCGTATTCTGGGAAAATTTGATATTTTTTTCAAAAAAGCCAAGGTAACACTAATTTTACATACAGCACACAGTGAAAATGACATGAATATGACAGTGGGCAAATGCATAAAGTGCAGCATAATTTGAAATCACGAATTTAATGTTTAAAGCATTCAATTTGTATGGACCGAAAGTCACGCAGAGAACACGCGATCATGCAGATCACTTCACAAGATCTCACAACTGGATTCGACTAATTTTGCAAGGTTTGTGAAATAAAATTTTCATTAGCCATTCAAAGATGTGTTTAAATTATGTAAATGCGTGTTTGCTGAATGCTGACGGCAAACGAGAAAGTATTATAATGTTTGCCTTCTATTACTAATAATATAAAAGCAATCGTTATAATACTTTTTGTATACATTTTAATTCCTTTGTTTAACCGTTCTATCTGATTATTAGACAGACTTCTATCCGTATTAGACAGAACTGTTAACGACGACAGCGAACAAGAGGGAGAATGTGAGCACTGTGTGCTCAGGCGCTGCTGCTCTCACGGCTTTGCGCCGTCAAAATAAAAGTCCCGCCTCGAACACATCGGCCAAACAGAAAATCTTATCGGCCGATGCCGATATTTGAAAAATTCCAAATATCGGCCGATATATCGGCCTTGGCGATATATCGGTCGACCACTATATAGCACTCGACCTCATGTAGGCTACAGTATGTGTGTGTGTGGCTGTGACAAATGAGTGTGGCGATGTTTAGCTAGCAGCAGGCGGATGGTAATGTTGATAAGTCATGTGTTTCAGATCTAATAAACCAGGACAAACCACTGACTCAAACTCTGAAATTCTCTAAAAAAAAAAAGCTGAATTGTCGAGTCTAGACACAGAGTACTGTATACGTTGTGTCCAGTAGAGATCAGAGTGAGGGAATATATTCATTTATTTCAGGTGATGTATGGTGAAATTCACCTCCGTGGTGGTGAGACAGACTTCCTCCATTGGCTAGAATCTCCTCCCGGGCTGCATGCTACATAAAAGCAAAAAAAGAAACAAATTGTCAATATCTACTAGGGTTGGGAATCAACTACAATTACAATTTCAATTCTACCAATCAATTCCTGTGTGCGCATCTTTTTTTAGGTGGCTGTTAAAAATGTATTTGTCTTTAAATCATTCATTCAACAGATTCATTCAAAAACACTGATTCATCCAGTAATGAAACAAGTAAATATTGATTGAATCATTGAATTGTTCCATTCATAAAATCCATGAGATTTTGTTTAGTTGTCTAATGTTTTTTCTTCAGAACTGTGAGAGAACTACAACCTTCATTTAAAGGGAAAAAAAAGTCTCAATTTATCCAGCTCTATTTTGCACACAAACAGCTCTTAATCAAGTCCAGTTTTTATGTAGCCGGCTGATTTTTGTTCATGGCATTCAGTAGCCATTACATGTTTTGCAAAAAGAGAGACACAGAATAAATATGTTTGATATCTAAATGTTTGACTTTTTTTTAACCACACTGGAATCGTTAAGAATCGAAATCGATAAGCAGAATCAGAATTGATAAAATACCCAACCCTAATATCTACTTATTTTAAGCCAAAAACAGAACCATTTCTTTGTTTTGAATTTAACAGCAGTCCACTAAACCTACAGTTGAATCAGCACATTGTGATGGCTTTAAAATCGAGAAATACATTCACAGGTAATTATTGAGGAATACTGTGCTTGCTATCTTTCTTACTGTACCTACCTCCACTTGTTCATAGACGTGAACTGGATCACTCAGACCCCGGTAATTAAAGGCAAAATAGAAATACACACAAGCACCTGCATCATACGTCTGTGTAACTCTAGAAAGAGGAGGAAAAAAAAAGTTACAATGCTTTTTTTTAAAGATGCACTCAGCAACTTTTTCCTATATTGACACCAAGTGGTGTGGATGTAGCATCAAGCAACAATATTATTTTTCAGGTCAGTTAGATGCAGAAATGTGCCATTAGCAGTCAGCCATCACTATTATAATTTTTTTTAAATATATCTAATATTTTAAAATATCTATTGTCCTAAAATTTTATTTAACTTTTTATTAAAAATACTGAGTGCACTTTCATGTAATTATGAACAGTACACAAAATCTATGTTGTTGGGTTATTACACAAAAAGCATGCAAAATAAGTTGTACAGTTCATTTTCACAATCATGATACCAATTTACTATAAATTATAGATGGCATATCTATAGTGCATGTATCCGCCACTATGATTTCTTTATTTGACCAAGAAAGTCAAAAAGTCTAGATTCAACTAAAAATCAAAATTGAAATCAAACTAGAAATCACATTTTTGCTCAATTTCTGGTAGTTTTCTATTTTTATGTTGGTATACACACCTCTAACCACTGATCTGCGATAGGATCAGTAGAGTTCGATGTTTCTATAATTAGTTATCTTAATGTTCTTCCTGCTAAATCAGATTTACGGCTTCTGTGGGATCTTTTTTTGCCCCCAGAAAACCTCAAAAAGAAAGGGAGGGACATTGACACGCTTTCCATCCAGGGCCTGCTTTTGTGACCCTTGACTTTGAGACAGTGAAAGTTTAAGGGCCGTGAGTTTGTGTTATCTGGTTTTGCAGAGGTTAAATGGCCACATCAATCATGTCACACACAGCTGGATAGCGAAAGACAGGAAATGAATGACTGAGAAATGCACTTCAGCCCAAATCTCCCTCTCTTTCTGTGTGTGTGACGGCAAAGGTGAGGTCAGAATGAACACAGAGTTCATCAATCAATATATCAAATTGCGTCAAACTACATTTTTACAATTCCCTGAAGTTGCCACCAACATTGCTAGGGTCTTGTGGGTAATTTATTAAGCATAATACTATATGTTAATATTCCAGATGATTGCTAGGTGCTTACTTATGGACAGCAAATCAAAAGTCAGAGAGATAGACGTGTGTGTGTGTGTGTGTCTGTGTGTCTTTGCGTGTGTGTGTGTGTCTGTGTGTCTGTGTGTGTGTGTGTGTGTGTCTGTGTGTCTGTGTCTGTGTGTATGTCTGTGTGTGTGTCTGTGTGTGTGTGTGTGTGTGTCTGCGCGTGTACCTGCTTGTGGAGAGCGGAGGGCACTGTACTCCTCTCTCCTTACACTCTCTTACAATCCTCTCCTTCACATTCCTGCACAAGTCCAAAACCCTGAAAGAGAGGCAAAACCGATAAATAGGCTACTGAATAATGTTTAAAAACTAGACAGAAGTGGCCAAAAATTAACCTACCTATTCACTCCTTACTATTATTCGAAAAATGTTCAAAATAGTGAAATTATTAAAGTTAAGACTATTAAATAACTACAATAAATAGCACCAAAAAACAACAGTACAAAACAAAAGAAAACACATATGTAAGACACTTGTATAAGCTTTTTGTCTTGTTTCTTCTCACTCTACATTCACTCAACCAACTTCAAGAGATGAGTCTTGGGATGCTTTAGGTTTGTAAAGACTTCACACTTGAGTGCTTTAAGTTCACAATACAGGTTCACATAAAGTCTGAAAGTTTGTGTGTCTTTGTGGGAGGTCAAGGTTTTTCTTTTGACCTGGCGTCCTCGAAACCTTCCCACCTCCACTAAACCATTCAGACAGAGACAACAAAGCATCCAAGAGAGTGTGGGCAGCAGTGGGCGACAAACAGAAAGTGCACAGTGATGCAACAGTGATGGCAAAGCATCGCACTGTCTGAGCATTTACCTGTCCCAAGGCACAGATGTCTCAAACGACTCTCCGATCACATAGTAGTCCATTCCCAAATCCTGCACACGTACACATGTTACATTAATGGACAGAACTTAACTCCGTATTTGGGGATTTTAGTTTCTTAATTGTTCACATTGAGAATAAATAATGTGTAAGCTAAAAGTTAATTCAGTTCGAGCGTACATTTAAGTACAAATACACAACACATATCAACACACTGTCTTCTATTTCTAATATATATATATATATGGTAAAGCTGAATTTTCAGCATCATTACTCCAGTCTTCAGTGTCACATGATCTTTCAGAAATCAATCTAATATTCTGATATGCTGCTCAAGAAACATTTTTGATTATAATCAGTTTTATCAATGCATAATAATTTTGTGGAAACTGTTTTTTTTCAGGTTTTTTTTTTTTTTTTTGGGGTAATATAAAGTTCAAAAGAGCAGCATTTATTTAAAACCGAAATCATTTAACATTATAAATGTCATTACTGTCACTTTTGATTAAGATTAATGTGTTCTTGCTAAATAAAGTGTTAGTTTCTTTCCTAAAAACAAAACAAAAAACTTACTGAAACCATGCCATGAAAACATACATTTAGGGTTAGACATAAAAAATAAGTTTAATGAAGGTTAAAGGTTAAAGTTTAATGAAGGTTCATTTTTGAGTAGTTTGAAGTCTGGTGTAATAATTAAGCAGAGTAAATCAGTGTGAGGAGTTTCATAACACACCCGCAGATACGCGATGACAAACGTCAGCATGTAACCCCTCTGACCGTTATCCTCTCCTGCTGCCAGACCCCTACAACACACACACACACACACACACACACACACACACACACACACACAC